CTTTATTAGTCATTTAATGTTAAATAACAACCGTTAACTATTGTATAACCAAACAATTATATTTATTGGATTCGCTATTTATCATTCGTTATTCATTTTTCGTTATCCGCTACCTGTTATCTGCTACTTGTTATCCGCTATCCAGTGAATTTTAACCGTTGTATCAAATAAGCCCTAAATTCCTTTAATTTGAAAGAATGAAAAATAAAAAAATGAAAAAGATTTTATCACTCCTCCTTCTTCATTAATAAAGAAAAACAAATAGTATAAAAGAGACGGTAACCCCTCGCTCTCCCTTGCTTCCCTCTAACTCCATCAATTCAAACAGGCGCTTATTGATGCGGCAAAACTCAACATTTAGCCCCTCCCTTACAAAGTTAATAGGTTTTAGTCTTTTAATGACAGTTTTAATCTTTTATCTTACAAAGTTGATAAGTTTTAACTCCTTACTTTACAAAATTGATAGGTTTTAACCTTTTACCTTGTATTATGATATTTTTAGCCTATCACCGATACGAATTAAAAAAAATAACCCTCACCTAACATCAGATTATAACATTCTATTAATTCTGTTAGTTGACTGTTAACATCTGTTAGCATTTCGTTATAAAAAATATGAAATTTAAATTCAATTTTATTTGTTAGTTTCATTAACGGAATACTAACGGATGCTAACAGTCAACTAACAGAACTGACAGTTAGTTAACAGAACTAATAAAATATTAAAACCTAATGTTAAATAAGAGTTATTTTCTTCAATTTGTACATATAAGAGGTTAAAAGTGTCATAATATAAGGTAAGGGGCTAAAACCTATCAATTTTGTAAGGTGAGGGGTTAAAATTTACTGACGGTAAGGTAAATGGCTAAAAGTGTCATATTATAAAGTTAGGAGGTAAAACCTACCAATTTTGTAAGATGAGGGGCTAAATGTTGGTTTTAACCTATTGATGCAGAAGGAAGATGAAGAGACATTGGGCCTATGGATTGGGCCGGAATCTGGATGGCCTCGGTGACTTCTTAACTCCTACGAATTTTCTCATTTTCAGGGCGGTTTAATCATGTGAAAAAGTGCTGTGCACTAGCCCCTAGTTGGATCTAGAAAATGTAGGTAAGGTTGAGAATTTAAATTTTTTATCTGTATTTATAAAAATTAATTTTTTAAATATATTAAATTAATGTAAGATGAGTTAAAATATGTATT